CTGATATGAAATAGGCTTGCTGCTTCAGGCTCATCTAGTATTGGGAATGCTGTTTCATTAACTTATCCGACTATTATTTCCAACACGCTGTGTTTTAGTCAGTGATATGCTGTTGCTAGTGTATCGGTAACGTACTTGATACTTAACACGCAGTATGTAGATTTTGCTACTAAGGTTATTAATGCAAACGTTTATCTGGATAAGGGCAACATGCCTGTTGCCTAAATTGAGTATTGACCTTATGCTGTACTGCATTAAAGGGGCATGCTGTTCTTCTCAGCTGCTTATTAAAGAAGAGCTCCCCTTCGCTGCTTCTCTTCTTCTGTAAGAGCATGCTGCCCCAGGCTATGCTATTTCATAAAGTCTTTGCTTTAAAGATATTGGGATTTTGCTTGCTTGTTAAGGCTTATCTAGTGTCAGTATCATGTTTGTTGCTAGACCTGCTTGTTGCTTAAGCTATTGGTTGTTACTGCAAGTGCTGGTATCCGGGTAAACTTGCAACAGCAAGAAGCTAATGTTTAAGCTGTTGTTTAAGGCCATCTAATTGTTCTTGAAATATGATTGCTGCTTATGGCTCATCTGGTTATTGGGAATTCTATTTCCTTAGGTTTCTCTGACCACTGCAACATGCTGTGATTTAAGCAAGCAACATGCTTGTTGCATAAAGCTATCGAGTGTATTGGTAAGGAATTTTGTCTATACTCACGCGGGTTCTCAGATTGAGGACTTGTATCACAATGAGCGCAAATGTCTATGGGAGACGACAAACCTGTAAACTCATGAGTTTGATTTATTGAGTTATATGCTGTTTTTATAGAGTTTTAAATGGATGCTAAAGCTTTAGGCCAGGTAGAATCTGCGATCTCTGAACCAGTTCATTTGCTCGCTTCTACAGCTGCAGTACGCTGTGTTTGCTGCAAACTAGGCTGCAATTCTAGTGGGTTTTCTGCATCTTTAATCTTTTTCAGGTACTGCATTAAAGGGGCTTGCTGCTTATAAAGAAGAGCACCCCTTCGCTGCTACACTCCTCCAGTAAGGGGCTTGCTGTTCTTCTTACCTGCTCATAGCAGAAGAGCACCCCTTCGATGCCACTGTCCTTCCAAAGGAGCAAGCTGCTCTTCTTACCTGCTCATAGCAGAAGAGCACCCCTTCGCCGCCACTCTCCTTCCGTAAGGCATTTTCAGTTAGATTGCTGTCAGCATGTGGTTGGGGGGGCGTTCAGCATATGGTTTGTTTTGGGGGGTAATTTATGCTCTCCCTGCTCCTATCCATGCTAGGCTGCATGGATGGGCAGGGAGTGTTTCCCAGAACAGAACCATACCCCCAACCTAAAATGTATGCTAATTGTAAGTTATCTTTGACGATAGTAATCCTGACAGAACTGTGTAATCATAGACATGATAGAGGCTACATTTTAATACATTTTTAGTTATTTTTATTATCCAAACTAAACAATAGTATCATATTTTTGTTGGTAAGCACAATAACTGTTAACTGAAAGGACAAATATTTTTTTTTTCATAAATGTCAGGTTGGGGCACAAGAGTCACGTGTTTTAAAAGTTACATATTTTCACGATTTATTAATTATTTGCCCAAAACAAATCATTTTAAAATTATTTGCCCAAACTGTTTTCAATTTTTTGCTGTTTTGTGGTGATTTTTGCTGAAAAACCAAACCATATTTTATTTTTCTCTGGAGTAATAACGATGGAAACATTCAGTTGCTTTTTTGTAGATGCACCTATAAAGTTGTTTTAAAAATTGATATTCTAGAGCAGGGCTGTCCAAACTCGGTCCTGGAGGGCCGGTGTCCTGCAGAGTTTAGCTCCAACCCTAATTAAACACACCTGAACCAGCTAATCAAGCTCTTACTAGGCATAGAATCTTCCAGTCAGGTGTGTTGAGGCAAGTTGGAGCTAAACTCTGCAGGACACAGGCCCTCCAGGACCGAGTTTGGACAGCCCTGTTCTAGAGCAACACGTGTGACAATTAGACCTGACTCTCACTATATCATAACATAATGTGTAAATATTATACAGACCAGTCTCTTTAATAAATAAGTACCATACTCGATTATTTGTTTTCATATTAAGTTTAAGACTTTGTTTTTATGTCTGTAAAATGTTGTTGTTTTTTTAGTTCCTGTTTCCTCTTCTGGTCCTGCCATTGGTTAATTGTCTTAAGTCTTTTAGCTCTAGTTTATGAATCTTGGCAGGTCATTGGTTCTCCAGTTGTTCTGTTTTGTTCTTGGTTTATAGATCTGTTTCCATTGAGTATTTATAGCCGTCTTGTTTGCCCTTGATTTGTCTCATTGAATGTTTTGGTTCTTTATTGACCTTAGTTGTGGGCACTGTGTTGTCATGTTTGTGGGTTTACCATTTTCATGTTATTGCATGTCTATACTTAATCAACTGCTTTACACACACATATACATTATATATATATATATATATATAGACTTCATGTATTCAAATAAATGTAAGGAGTCATTCTAGTTACAATAGAAAGCATCAAATAGAATAGAATGTACTAGACGTGTTCTAAAACCTTTCTGTTCTGTTTGTGTAATTTATGAACCGTCAGTCTGCTTTAAAACTCCTGTCCCATAAATACATTTATTTATTGTCTTCTCGTAGACCACTTTTTGTTTTGTTTTATTACCCTGTCAAATACCTGGTCCGCCTTACAACTATCTGCTACATTTGATCAGGAAGATAGAACAGAATGACATATATTATGTTATTTTCCCAGTCAGGCTGCCATTGCCTGACTTTTCATTCATACAAATCATTTTATTTCTCAGAAATGCTCAAATTTCGGTGTTATTTCTAAGCTTGTGTTTTTTAGGTTTTTGCAGGTTTTTCAAGAGGACAATGTGAGTTTTATGACATGGTTACCCCAGTTTGCTGCCAAATGTCTCTTTTTGCATCTGTCTCCCTTTTGAGCCAACTAGAACAATCTGAACACCAAAATTATTTCCACTTATTGTGTCCTCTTGGAAATCACATTTCTTTTAATGCATTGAATCAGTTAAAAAAGAAATGGCTTTTTTTTGTGGTGTGTTACAAAACAGGCTTTTTGAGTTCTATCTAGACTAGACCGTCTTGCTTTGAGGGCTTGTGTGACATACCTGTTGGCGCTTCCCTGTGATGATGTCATCAAAACCAGCGATTGGAGGAAGAGGAAAAGAGCCACCAACATTAGCAGGGGTCAGAAGCAAACAGGGTCACGCCAAGCAGAGCTGGATTAAGGCAATGTAAGGAAAAGAACAAGTGTGAAGTAAAGCAGATGCTGCAGACCAGAGAAAGAACGCACCACTGGAGCAAAAGTGGAGATCAGGACAGCTGGACACAAACAGCCTGTCGTCTGAGGTGACCAGGGCCGGATGCCAATGGTTCTGGCCATCTGCTCCAGTGTATTTGGGCCACTTTAACTTCATGTCTAGAAATGAAGATGACAGCGAGCGGGGTGCGAGGGACATGATAAATGGAACAGCTCAGTGCTCGCCTCTCCTCCAGACTAGTGGGAGGAGAGAAGTCCCTCTCAGATGGCCCGCCGTACCCTCAAATCATCTCCTTCCCAGATCGGTCGTGAGCCAACTCTCATCTTCACGAGCCAAACTTCAGTTCTTTTTCAGCC